CACAACTCTGATCATGACAAATCTAAGATGAAGTGTTTTCTCTGTTGTCTTTTCATTGTGATCTCCCTTGAAAATCCTTGAAATTGTCCTGGAATTACCACTGATGAGGATATTCTTAAGTCTAAACTCTGCAAACCATCTCGTCTCTCTGGCAACGACACCATATCCCCACACGCCGTCACAGGCTGGACGACTGTACAGTCACACATATAAACACACTGAAATTCATTTGCTTGTCCAGGCTGAATCTCTGAAACAGCTCCACCTCTGCTGCCTGATGCTGTAACTGCAGCTCCATTCAACTCTTTAACTCGGTTATGAGATATCCTGTTTTAAATGGAACTGTTTAGCTGGCAGATTTAAACCATTATTACTATCTTGTTATTGCTGTAAATGATTTCTAATGGCTCACCTACATCTCATTCAACATCTACAGCTGTGGCTCAGACTTTGGAAATGACCAGTGTCAGGAAAAGAACAATAGAGAGAGAGAGCATGGCCTCTAATGAGTTTTAACAAACTTGCGATGTGTTGTGTAGATGTCCTTGTCGTCCCTTTGAACTCAACTACAAATCAGTCAGTTAACCCTGCAGTCACGTTGCATTTGGTTATGATTTAGAAAGCTGCAACACTACCAGCTGACACTGTGGAAACAGCTCTATGGTCAGAATATCCAGAGACTTTATAGAACAACAGTATATATTAGTAGTCTAACTATGATGTCATACCAAAGTCACACTATTGTGTTGTCATATTATCCTATAAGATGTAATGCTTTTAGAATGTGTAAATAATATATTTCCAGTGCTTTGTATCCTGCTGCAGTGAGGCTTTGGTCTTATGTTGTTGTTAGTGTTGTGCACTCTGAAGGGTCGAGTATGGGATCCATGGTGGACGTTATTGTGACATTACCCAACCAAACTTTGATTGTAGAGACCGCACTATTTACTCACACATAATTTACTGTTAACATTCTTTTTAAAATATATTTTAAAATCGTTTTTGAAGTAAAAACTGAAAATGATCGAGCTTGTGACTAGAAGTTTTCTTTTTTTAATATTGTGTGAGGGTAAACTGGAAACCTTTGGACTGATAAGATGGTGTCACCTTGGCATTCTCAGAACTGTGCTGGGAATCTTTTATTGACATTTTTATAGACTAATAAAAAAATCAATTAATTGGAAAAAAAATAACGGGCAGATTATTGAATAAGGCTTCGCTCAGTGCATCATTAAATCTAGACGTGGAAACACTGGAACGTTAATTATATGTAACCTTGACATTTATGACTCTACAAGAACTCAGCGCAGTTGAGAAAAGCGGCTGAAATATAATTGGATGCCACTGTGAGTGGGATCAAACTGTGCGGACATGTGACCACGTTCAGCAGAGCCACTCACTGAAAACTAACCCAACAAGTTTGTTCTGTTTTTATTGTGTGAAAAACTGAAGCGGCTCACGCTGACACGAGTTAGCTCGTTATATTGATCATATATTGCCTGCCCGGGCCTCCTGTAGGCTACCTGTTAAATACCAAAGCTTGTTTTTGGCCATTTGTGCCGATGCGTTGATCAGATATTGATTATGGGCGCACATATGCAAGAAACGCAAAGCCAAAGAATGCGCGTGTGTGCAGTGGAAGCAGTGCTGAAGTTAAAGTCACCGTGCAAATGTCAAAATCTTTGAGGTTTAGCCTCTCTCTCTCTCGCTCTCTCACTCGCTCTCAGAGCTCGTGCAGGCTCGCTCTCTCCCCCCTCCTCGCTCTCTCCCTCACACTCAGCCAGCCGGTGCTGCAGTGGCTCAGTCGCAGAGCGCTAGCGCGGCTGCTTTTCCGCGGTAACTCGTTTCATCCGTCGGGACACGACTGCGTCCACGGATCGTAGATGCAGCCCTCCGTTTGCGCCGCTTCGTCTCCAAACACGCACCCGTCCGACCCGCTTGACGTCTTCCGCGCGGACTCCGGCGTCTCGTTCGTGCGTCGCGATTGCGTAAAAGTCGTAAGTAGCTAAGGGACGCGCTGTCCAATAATCTTGATCGATCGCAGGCCGGAAGCACGCGTTAGTTTAGTTTGGACAATTGTGTCGATGTGCGCGGAGATGGAAAGTTGACCGCGTTCTCACATGATCGCCGCGAGCTCTGCAAAGTAAACGACTCTGTCCCGAAAATATCCAGCATGCAATGCATAATTAATCAAGCATTATGCACAAACACACGCCGATTAATTATTTACTCGATCTGCTAAACACTTGCAGTTTAAAGTAAATAGGTGTCCGCCACAGTATCTGCAAAGCGCAACATAAAGTCCAAACACACTCCAGGGCGGCCGGACACGTGTTGAGTTCAGTGTACGTTTAGCTGTGGGATTGTTCAGAACAGCCCGACCTTACAGCTGCAGCACCGGGGTCAAGCTGCTCCGGTTCAGCTCACCTTGAACCATGCTGGTAATGTGCACGAGTCCTCCGCGGGCAAACCGCCCAGCCCGAGGCCACGCGGCGCTCCTCCGGGCATCTCTCATAATCCTTCTCCTCCTCTGGCCACGGCCGTCTGCAGGCAAGAAGAAGCTGTACATCGGAGCGCTGTTCCCCATGAGCGGAGGCTGGCCGGGCGGTCAGGCGTGCATGCCCTCCGCTCAAATGGCCCTGGACCTGGTGAACAACAGGAGCGACATCCTGCCCGACTACGAGTTGGAGCTCATCCACTACGACAGCATGGTGAGTGCATGTGGAGGAGAGTCAGAGGAGGTGCGCACTTAAAGTGATGTGTGTGTGTGTGGTGTCAGCCCCTGAGGGATGTCATGATCTGCCTCTCAGATTATCACGAGGGCTCTTGTCATTTTCTCAGTTCTGTGAGTGTTTTGTTCAATTCTTTTCTGATTAAAAACAGAGAAAGAAATCCTGGCTTTTATTTCCAGTTTTGATTGCAGATTTATGAAATTATACTGGCTGCCTTTTTTATTTTTTAGGATTGCTGGTTTTCTCCAAAGTTAAAGATCATTAGGAACTGCTTTAATGATAGCTCACCTCATCAGGAGAGGTTTTCTTTGAGTATTGTAGATTTTGGGGTCATATTTTTTGAACATCATACTCTTTGTGATGGAAGCGTCTTTACTGATGTTTGCCAAATACCAAAAAATCAGGTATCAGGTGAAAATGTCACTTTTTCTAAGGAAGTGCTTTGGTTCTTTCATGTTTTTATCTCTGGGTCACCCCGCTGACAGCTAACCCCCCACAGTCTTTGCACTCTGTGCCACATTCATTTTGCTAAATGAGCAAACACACCTCCTGCTTGTTGCTCATCAATCATTCATCATGGTGGTATTTTAAAATGTCAGCATTATCGACCAATATAAATCCAATAATCATCCCTCCAGCTTGTTCAGATACTGCCCTTTTTAACCACCCACGCCACCCGAATCAACCTTAATCACAATCCGGGTTATTTCTGTGAGTGAATAATCCTCGTCTTTGGGTTCTCACTGCTGCATATCCTGAAGTTTTTCACTGAAAGGAAGTGTTTTTCTCAACAGTGGGATGAGTGCAGACACAGATTTGTTTAAAAAAAGCAATCCTCTGTCTCTTCTCTTGAGGGTTGTTATCAATCATGCTGCAGGACAGATGCCTGGAGAGTTGGCTGGGGCACCAAACAGTTAACTGCACAGGGACTGGTTAGAAATTTGCTACGAGCTTTATTCTGATTGGTGTACAAGGCTCTGCATTGGAATCCTGTTAAACAGAATAGCAGGGAAAGAGAGAGTGTGTGTGTGTGTGTGTGTGTGTGTGTGTGTGCATGTGAGAGAGAAAGAGAGCGAGAGTTGGCATGGCAACACAGTTACTCTTGAAGCACACCACAGAAACAAACAAGGATTCAGCTCTGTGGAAATATGTGTGCAAAATCATACGCTGGATGTATGCAGAGCTGATGGCACAGAGCATTTTGTTAGACATACACCTCGTTCTTTGCACTCGAAACAGATTAAATACGTGCGTGTGTCCTCCGATTACAAGTGTAGTGAAGCAGGCATCTGCAGACGTAGCAGCCATAAACATAAAAATAAAGCAAGGAAGAGATTTCAGAGGGATTGGAAAACATCTCTCCTCGTGCTTCAGGAGTCGCTGGCGCCTCCGGCTCGCGAAATAGATGCAGATCCTTTTTGAAGGGAAAAGCTCAAAGAGGCTGGTGTAACATTGTCTGAATGATACTGGTTAATTCCTTGATTTTAAGTCCTGGCGGGAGGGGGAGGGGGAATTTATTGCTCCTACTCTGGGTACAGTGTGGTCAGAATGAGGTTTTTACTTTTTGATTGCAAACGTTTTTCACCTGGCTGGAATGGTAATGAGGATGACAGTCTGAAAACCAATTATAAAGAAGGAGATTAATTATGATATTTGCATGCAGTTATGAGAACCCATTCCACATCCTTGTTTGGTCTGAGAAGAGATCGGCACATTTGAAGCACAACTTGGTGAGATTAAGACGAGGGTTTAAATGGCTCTTTGTTTGCATCTCGAGATGAAGGCTGCGGAGTGTAATTATGCATCAAAGACTCTTAACTGGAATTTATTATGATGAGAAACTTTTATTGCATCTCTAAATGATTAAATAAAAGAAATGCATCAAGGGAGACCTATTATGCATATCTTCAGGTCCATATTTTTATTTGTGCGTTCTACCAGGGTAGCTTTGCAATTAAGAAACAAACATTATTAACGATGTGATCCTCGTTCACCTTAGTGCAGCCCCATTTTCGCTCCTCTTTCCTTACAGCTACCTCCCCTTTTCCTTCTGATTGGCTGTTCCTGCAAAACAAAAGGTGGGTGAATACTGTCAAAGCTGTCTGACGTTGTCATATTTTGGATATCTGCTTTCTTTGACATCTTAACAAACAAAGATTAGAAAAGACAATGCAACTCTGAATAGCAGACCGTATAGGAAAGATGGACATAGCCTCCTGGTTCTCAGTTATTGGTCAGCAAAGTTCTTTGTGAAGCCTCAATCTGAGTGTTTTGAGGTCGCTGTCAGAGTTTGGACGCGACGAATGAGCCGTGGATCAGACTGAGAGAAAGAAAGTGAGAGACACTGCAGTTTAATAGGCTAGCAACTTGTCACAGCGTGCGACTGAAATTTACGACGACGAGAGCCGTTTCCCCACAGACCTATAAAACCAGAATAATAGGTAAACAGAGGAAAAGAGCTTCACTGGCTTCTTTGGGAGCTGGAAGCTACGCCCGTGTTTGAGATGCAGCCCAGCAAACATGGCTCAAACCCCGATGTCATGTCCCTGGTCATCTGATCTGAACTGTAAGACAGACGGGTGTTGATGTTGTTTCGAGCTAAACTACAGGTTTAGTGTTTATCAGATTATGACAATGAAAGAATGAAATTAAAATGTGGTTACTCAGTGGTAAAACAGACATTCATCTGACAGCTTCTCCACATAGAAAAAGTAGTATTACTACTGTTGGCATTGGCCTGTTTTTACAATATAGGCTGAAATTTGAAGGAATTTACATTCTTTCTCATTTATATTGTGCTAAACGTAGCACATCACAAAGGCTGTAGCTCTGCTCCTTGTGCTCGTGCTATGCACCCTGTGATGGGAGTCCAGTTAGCTCAGTAGAATGAGAAATAACCTTTGTGGAATATACTTTTCTTTCTTGCAGCAAAGTCTAACAAAGACCTCCAGGCCATATTCAATGTGTATGTTTAGCTCATAAGAAAGCTTTGGTCTGACTTTTGTTTTCAAAGTGTTTTTCAACCACAACTAGACGTCGACAAAAGACCACCAGCTCACAGTTATTCAACATCGCAGTGTGAGCTGGGAGACTAATATACTCAAGAACTCCCACTGTCTACACTCCCGGCCTCATAGCGGGCAATTGTAAGGTAGTCCGGCACGAGTCGGGCTGTACGGAGATGTGGAACAAAAATGTAAATTTCACGGGGTAAACTTTTTTCTTCTGATTTATAATAGTGCAACAACATATATATATAATTCCATATTTATATATTTGCTTTACAGTTAAATGCTTTTCCTGGATACTAAGGATGTCACAGCACAGGTTCACTTAATAGCATCCACCATTTTGATTCAGGCATGAAGCAAAGGACTTCTGGCAGCAGTCACCTTCAGCCGCCAGCACAACCAGCTGCTCCTTATACACACATGGAAATGTCTGTTGTGGTGCTTCTTATGTGTAGTTGTTATTTAGAATCAGATGGCACTGAGAGAGGACGTCCTGTTGTAAAACCTTTACAGACTAACGAGTGTTTATAAGCAGAACGACAACATTTTACTGGTAAATCTGCAACAGTGTGGATTTACTTCAGTTCAGACGCTTTAGCGATGGTAGATCTGCAGAAACGAAATTCAAATGTGGACACTTTTGTCCAGGAGCAGGTGTAAATGATTATTTTAGCTGTTTGGCTCTATGCACTCCCGTTCATTGAGGGCTATTCTGCAGCCAGAGTCTGTACAATGGGATTAATAGGAAGTGAAATGGCTCTTGTAGATCGGCTCTGGCTGAGCTTTTGGCTCACAGGGATTACTTGCACATTCACTGACCTCATTATTTAAAACTTTGTCCATCTTTAATGTGAGCATCGAGCGGTGTAACAGTACACCCGTATGTGGCAGAAAATCAGAAAAAGCAGAGTAGTTCCACCTCTGACGTTTGACTTAGCAAACAGGTGACAATTTGGGCGGGGAGTATGGAGCGATGTCCTCAACTTGTTCAACATCATAAAATATTTATGAAGCTCTACACTTAATCCCAGCCTGTCTTTTAAATGGATGAATATACCCCGTGGTAGCAGAACGGCTTGTTTCTCTGGCTATTCTGGCGACAGCATCAGACTATTTACAGCCTTCTGAGATGTGCGCACACATGCACACACAGGATCGCGCGCAGACACGCGCTCTCCACACAGGCTGTTGCCATGGATATATCAAAGCCGAGACTGCAAACTTTGATCAATTATTAACAGTGATGAGTGAGACGGTGGAGATGCAGAGAAATGGCGGTGAAACAAGGTGCTTCCCTCACTTCCGTTTTTGATTTTAATTGGCAGCCGTGACACAATTTTCCATCCGCTGTGGCATAACTCGTATCCTTCAGTGGTCCTCGTGCATGTCCGTTGGCACACGAGCCTGAAGTGTGGTGCCAGACGCAATTATGAGGAACTAAGGAGATGTAGCTCTGCATGCTTTGAGATTCAATATTCAGGCGGTCCCCCAAGCCTGATCATATCCCCTATTCACACTTTTTATATTATTCAATCTGGAGTGTAATTAGATGGCATATTATGACGACCAAGTGTGTTTTCTCATTCTTCCTAGCTCAGGGAAACTTCAGTTTCTTTCAAAGCTTCTCGCCAGCTGGGTATGACTGATTGGAGAGACTACATGGGCATGTTAACATGACACCGATATTGGCTGCAGGAATTTCAGCACCAAGGACAGCAGCTGAAGTGCCTATCTTTTGTGGGGTATGTGAGTGTGTGTGTAGTTTTATGTACACACACAGTAGCATTAATCTGGGTGTGTGACAGAGAATGTGAATGTGACCATGAATGGCATTGGGGGCCTTCATTGCTGCTGCTCTCATGAGCCAAGGAGGAACAGAAATGAAAGTAGAAATGGTGACGACCCCAGGGGGCTGTAGCAGACAGACCTCCAAGAATAGCAGAGATTCCTCAGCCTTTATTGCAAACC